ACCAGATGATCTTTTAAAAGAAAAGGTAGTCCCTGATTTGTGCCAGTGTTTGTTTGCTTTGATGGAACAAAGGTGAGACCTTCATCCTTCTAGAGCCTCTCATAGGGGCCAGATGTGGAATATCCTTGGCTCTCTGAAATTGTTCTAGAAGCTACTGCTACTATTATACACACTAGAAAACTGAGACAGAGGCAGATCCCCACCGTGCAAATAGCTTATGTAAGTCAGTGCAGAGATTTGATTCACTGATGTAAAAGAAAGTCCTCAGGGCCATGTCAAAGGTCTGTGTTGTCCAGCACAACCACATGTCTAGCAGATACAGCCTGGGATGTATTCTGGAACCTTATCCTACATGGAGACAGTTTCATCTCTCTGCCAGGGCCCAAGRTGCTATGGAGTCAGCTCAGGCAGCAACTGCTCTCCTGCTCTTTCCGAACAGGCCAGTTCTCTTTCTCCCTGGCCTCAGGTACTGCCGTGTTAACTCTGTTAGACAGTCACATAGGATCATAGAATCATAGAATCCTTAGGGCCAGAAGGGACCTTTAGAGATCATCTAGTCCAACCCCCTGCCTATGTAGAGTCACCTAGAGCATGTGGCGCAGGATTGCGTCCAAGCAGGATTTGAAGATCTGCAGAGAAGGAGACTCCACAACTTTTCTTGGCAAGCTATTCTAGTGCTGTGTCACCTTCACTGTTAAGGAATTTTTCCTTAAGTTCCTGTGGAACTTTTGGTGCTTCCATTTGTGGCCATTTCACTATTACATTGCCACCTGTTATGTATGCCAGGATGTCACCACTCTGAAGTGAGGGCCTTGTACACATGGTGGTCTTGAAGCAAGAGCTTTCCCCATGATCAGTGCACACTCTGTGCCACAGCAGAGGCTCTAGGACCCATATTATTCATAAATAAATGCAGCTTGGGGCACAAGCAGGAGCAGATGGAGATGCACAAGCTCCTTTTGAAACCTTTTCAGAATAGGTGGCATGTGGTGGAATCACTCAAAAAACTGCAGGGCTATGATAGCCCAGTACAAGCTCTTCAGGAGAGCTTGGGAGGGAAGACAAGGAGGAGAGGGGATGCCCTTTGTGTCAAGGGGAAGGTCAGATGTGTGGAGTTCCATGCTGGGGGAGACAAGGGTCTGGRYGAGAGCTTGTGGGGRAGCATGAGAGGGTGAGCATGAGAGGACGAGGCTGACACTGTGATGSAAGATAMAGWCTACTTGATTTGTTTSAAGYTGACACAGACCCCTTTAATCRCCCCAAGGAAATCTGTGTGTCACAGGCCCTGGTTCTTATGAGGAGAGTATAATCTCTCTGACATGCACTGACAGGTCAATCAGAGTGTGGGCACTGCAGCACGGTTTTGGAAGGTGTCAGGGAATGTTTCCTAGCAGAGTCAACAGAGAGGGAAAGAACAACAGGCCACAGTTGCTCTGCTACAGGGTGAACGCTTGTAACAAATTGGGGCCTGAGTGCCTGAGTAGCACATCTAGAGGATGGAGCCAGGTTCTTCATCCTGAGGCATGGTGGGAGGATAAGTGATAATGGGCATAAATTGAGAGAAGTAGAGCAGATACAGACTATCATGGAGGAGATGAGGAAATGTTTTTCCCTTCAGAGGATGGTCAAGCATCTGGAAACTGGTTGCCCAGAGAGGCTGTGCAGTTTCGCCACTTGCACAGGCTCCCCACTTTACAAGATCAGACTGGTTGAAGTGCAGAGCAATATGGCTGACCCCAGAGATGACCTTGTGAACAAGGAGATGAGGCTAGAGAGCTCCTGAGCTGCCTTCTACCCTAAAGGACTCCATGATTATTCCCTCTCTCTGTCGCAGAGAGGTTCTCCTTGTCTGTGGAAGTAGGTCGACTTTCTTGACTTCCTCCATTCCCAATGGTTCAGATGCAGAACTTGTAGGAAGGAATCCCCAGACACTCCTCATCAATCTTTTGCTTACCTTTCAATTCTCCCATTTTTTTTCTCTTTCCCACTTCTGAGTTTGTGTCTTCCAACATCCTTATATCCTCTGATAGAGTCAGCCCAAATCAGTCTACCCTTCCTCCACTGGTGCTGTCTGTGTTCTTTTGTTTTTTGTTTGGCAGAGAGAAACTTCAGTCCTGAAGGTCCTTATGAAACTTGGCTGGTTTGGAGAACAGGCATCTCATGGAGATTTAGAAGACAAGTGTCAAGTGCTACTCATAGTGGGGGACAACTGTGTCCATGTAGAGAGAGTGAAAGAACTTGAAGAGTAGTCCTTATCTCTCTGAGGKATCTCTGTGATCATCCTCTGGCTTTGTGTTTCAAGGAGGAACAAGGGAAGACAGAGAGACATGCCTGGAGGTAGGGAGGTCCATGGGTGAGAGTAARGTAACAAACTGTCTTTGTCCCCTTGCCATGGCTGCTGACTCTACCACTGAGGCCTTTAAGAAGCTGCTGTTTCCTTAAATCCCCATGGCCTCATGGCCTCCTCATCTTCAGGGAGCCCAGGAGATGCCATCTTGCTGTCCTGCACTTCTTGCATGCCCTTACCCTCACAGTGCTCCCAGAAAGAGCCCTGAGCAACATGTGGAGGAAAGGATCAGCCTGTCCACGGGCTGTGTGTCTGTGTCTAACTGATCAAGCACGTCAAGGTTGACATGGCATCAGAGACCCCAGTACATTGCCTTTGCCTRCCCRCAAGCGGCACCTCCAATGTTCTGCTKTATCAGYCCCTGGGGAGCCTTCTTTGGTAACAACCCTCAGTGGGACTCATTTATGGTTCCAAGAAACTTTTGGATTTTCTTCTGCCTTAAGCTTCTTGAGGACTTTGTTCAATCTCCTCTTAGGATGTGAGGTTCATGGAATCAGCACCAAATACACCCCAGGGACCAGTAAAATGAAACAAACCTCTAAGGACCCATGGCTCTCGTGATTTCCTTTATTTCCTCAATTCTTGATGATTACTTGGAGAGTTTCCATCAGTGCATAGACCAGAGGAAGATTTCACTGAGCACCTGAAAAGAAGCATGCCTGTTTTTAAGCTCTCTTATTTTTCAACTGGAATAATAAGTGATATCAATATCCTCCAGTTCATAGTGGGCATGTAGGAAAGGCAGTATTTTCAATACGAGGATTTCAGGATGGACAAAGTTTTTCCCAACATTCCATTTCTCTCATCAGCCCCTGGGGGCTTGCATCTCTCCTCTTACAATGAAACTTCTTCCATTCTGTACCTGAATGTTACAGCTCCTCCACTCCAGTTCCCACCTGCTCTCCTTAGACAACTAGTTGCAGACACAGGAGGTATTTTTCTTAAGTACAAACATAAACAAAAAAAAAATGACACAAATTGCACACCATGCAGATCATCAGAAAAAATGCAGGTTTTCTGGGAAAGGGACCAGGGCAGGGAGGGTGTGTTTCCCCTGCTCTAAGCATCACAAACTTTGTGAAAGATAAATTTCACTTAGAGACCAAGAATGGCTCAACATCTCCCCCATCATTGTGTTTAAGCAGGAGCAGTGGAAGACTTGGAGAATGTTTATAAATCATGTTTCAACTCAGATATTCATCAGGTGCAGATAATATCCCCACCCTAGAAGCTCCTTCTTCTGGAGCTTCACCATCTCTGTCACTCTTTTCCACCTGCTACCTTCTTCTGAGTGGTGCACACAAAATACCTTGGCCTGGCACAGGTGCACATAGTCATGAAAGAAGAAAAATGCTGCCATTCGGCTGCTGGGTATGTGAAGAGAAGTGTGGGAGTACACATCAGGGAGCTCACAATACAAATGCAGGTCTTTAGGGAAGGGTACCAGGACACAGAGGGTGCATAAGAGAAGAGCCCAGATTGTTTCCTGCGTTGCGGGGGACACACTGGGGAAGATGAGTCCCATGTCCCTCCTCGCAGAGCAGCCCCTCACATCACCCGTTTCCAGCACTAGCGAATCACCCCAGCAATGCTGTGGGAAATGGCCATTCTCCTGCACATCTCTGCATGCCCACTATGCTGCCAAAGACACCATGAGAGCCCTGGCCCTGCAGTCAGTCCGACAGGTCCTCCTGCCCAAGGACAAAGCAGCCTGCCCTGCACTCATGGCCTGGGTCCATCCTGTGGTCACTAGCAGATTGCATCAGGACTATGATCTTGGTATATTTAAAACTCCATCTTCTCAAGAAGATGTCAGGTATGTGTCTGAGGAGATGCCCTTGTGTTTTAAAGGTGACCATTACCTACTCCTGCCAGTAGTGACAGGAATGCAATGGAAACAACTCTAACACCAACTCATTGTGATAGCTCTTGGGCTGTATAGACACACAGGAGCACAACAGGAGAGTGTGGAAATGAGAACAACTCTGAAAAGAGAAAATCCTACTGCTGGAAGTGGAAGTGTCTCCAGGAAAACTGCAGTCCCCATGTGAAGGCTGCAGCCAGGAAATGCCTCCTGTAGCAATGAGGGAATGGTCCTGAAGAGCAAAGGATCTGTCACCACAGAATCCAGAATCTTGTCCCCTCCACTCCCACTCTACTGTGAGCACTGCAGCACTGGAGAAGGAAAAGACAAGGCCACAGGGACACCAGGCTGGCACCTTCACAGGAATGAGTGYGAGATCACAGCCTGACTCTGGCCAGGAGAGCTGCACCCCCTTCATGGGCATGGGACCCAGGCTCTCAGCCCATGTTTACTTGCCAGAGCCCTTGGTGTCATTGYTGAAAGAGACACTGCAAGGGAAACTCTCTGCACTGCACTGAGGGCATCTGAGTGAGTTGAGACCAGCAAGTTATGAGGTTCCCACATCTCTGATCATGAAGAGACAAGTCTGGCTTTCTGTTTCAACAGGTTGCTGAGTCAGATTCAAAGGATTCCTGAGGACAAGTGACATGAACCAAAATTATTTTTCCTTTATTAGGAACCTAACAAGGAAACATAAGTAAGAAAGAAAAGAACACCAGGCTTGATGCCAGTTACCCTGGGAATGAGGAGGAGGTGCACATGGGACACTTACTGGTGCTGACATTGTACCCGCTGAAGCAATTTTCTCAGTGCATCCTTGAGCTCCTTGTTCCTCAAGCTGTAGATGAGGGGGTTCATGGCGGGAGGCACCACCACGTACAGAACAGCCACCCCCAGGTCCAGGGATGGGGAGGAAATGTAGGGGGGCTTGAGGTAGGCAATCATGATGGTGCTGAGAGTAAGGGAGATTACGGCCAGGTGAGGGAGGCACATGGAAAAGACTTTGTGTTGACCCTGCTCAGAGGGGATCCTCAGCACAGCTCTGAAGATCTGCACATAGGACAGCACAGCAAAAACAAAACACCCAAAAACTAAACAAAGAGTAAATGCTGTAGGTGTGCCTGCTTGAGCAGGAAGGTTGGACTAGATGATCTGTAGAGGTCCCTTCCAACCTTAAATATTCTGTGAATCTGTGAATCTGTAAATACCATAACAGCAGCTTCCCTGAGGTAGGTGTCTGAGCAAGAGAGCTTGAGGAGCTGGGCAACTTCACAGAAGAACTGCTCCATGACATTGCCTTGGCAGAGTGGTATTGAAAATGTGTTGGCAGTGTGCAGGAGAGCATTGAGAACACCACTGGCCCCAGGCAGCTGCTGCCATTCTGGCACAAGGTCTGCTGCTCATGAGGATCTCGTAGTGCAAGGGTCTGCAGATGGCTGCAAAGTGGTCATAGGCCATGACAGTGAGAAGAGAACCCTCTGCTGAAAGGAGGAAAAAGAGGAAAAAGACCTGGGCAGCACATCCCAAGTGGGAAATGGCCCTGGTGTCCAACAGAGAATTGGCCATGGATTTGGGAACAGTAGTGGAGATGGAGCCCATATCCAGGACAGAGAGATTGAGAAGGAAGAAGTACATGGGGGAGTGCAGGTGGTGGTCGTAGACTATGGCTGTGATGATGAGGCCATTGCCCAGGAGGGCAAACAGGTAGATGCAGAGAAACACTGCAAAGTGCAAGAGCTGCAGCTCCCGCGTTTCTGAGAATGCCAGTAAGAGGAACTCATTGAAGGAGCTGCTGTTGGACATCTGCTGTCTTGCAGCACTGAAGGGGACTGTCCAAGGAAGAAGAGAGGTGGACAAGTTAGTACWGACTTCCAGGAGCAGAACTTTCRCATAACTCCYTTCCCTGTTTCTCTCTCCACATCACAAAAAAAATTCACTGAGCTCTTATGACTTGAGCTCCATTTTGTGCTGAGTTTGCTGTGAGGACATAGAGATCATCTGGAGTGCTCCTGCACTCACTCAGAGTGAGCCACTGTGATTCCTAAAAGCAAAGGGAGTCCCCATGGTCTTAATGCCGAGTGAGGAGAGCTCCTTGTCCATCCCCTTGTTCACAGCTGCCCTCTCCTTGCACCTCTGAGGTACAGGACATTTGCACTCATGTCAGAATGAAAGGACATGGCTGAGCACAGAGGAATCTAGAACCAAAGTGCACATCAGCAAACTCTGGCCCCTTCCTCAGATGATCTCAAATCCACAGAGTTAGTGCCTGAACTAACCCTGGCCACACAGTCTTGGGGCAAGAACAGAATCAGCATGCACAAGCATGATATTTCTGCTGAAGGAGGAAGGGACAGGGAGAGACAGAGGGCACTGAGAAGTTTGAGATCCTTCTCAAATGGAGAATGGAGACCTGCCTTGCAGGGGCTCTCCGCTTCCGCCCAGAGCCTCCCCTGCAGTCCCCAGGAAGGCTGAGTGTAGATCCTTGCAGGCAGCAGAGTCACTGCTGCAGGCACAGAGCACCGTGCAGTGGCAGGGACACTCTGACAGTGTCACAAGGAATCTCTGCTGTGAATACCTCCTTCTTCATGCCAGGGAAAGGAGGAAAGCTCTCCTGACATTTTCTATCAGCCATGGGAGGTGGTACCTTTAGAAGACTCCTCAGGGTACCTCATGATCATTGACTTACTGTTTTAGAGACTAAGGAGATTTCTCCATCACAGAGCCCTCAGACATCCTCCCACCTCCAAATATCTTTTAACTTCTTTCAGTCTCACTTGTCTCGCTYATCTTGCTTGTCTCAAGTTGGCACCTGTGGGAAATGCCTGGAGCTCTGCTGCTGTTTGCGGAGGAGCTGCTCCTGGTCACAGCTATCTGCACAGAGCTGCTCCTGGACACAGCACTGCCAGGTTGCCACAAGCTCCACCCCAGGAGCCTGGCCATGCTCGGAAGAGTGACACAGCTTGAGGTGTGATTTGATTTTTACTCCCTCTTGTACTTTTGCTCCCTCCTCCTCCTCCTGGGAAATAGTCGTTGAAGCAGACTAAACTAATTATCTATGGTCTCTCTCGGAAAAACAAGGACTGAAGCCAGCATTAGGAACTGTCTCATCAGAGGAGGGTTATCTAGGAAAGGTGGAACTGTCTCACTCTGAGAGGACCTATTCCTACCTCTTAGCTAGGTAACAAACTGAGATGGGGACAGGGAGTGAGGTCATTTACCCATCCTTCAGATGAGTCCATCTGGGCATCTCTTGCCAGGTTTGAGGTCCTGGGCTGGAATGGTATTCAGATCCCTCTTGTGCACTCTGCAAACTCACAAGAAGTGGCATTCCTCTTGCCAAAGCTGATGTGTGTGTAACAGATACCTAAATGGGATTCTGTTGTCTAAGTTCTCATTGGACTCACTGAAGATGGAGGGTCAGTTACCCACCCACAAACACAGAATAACACAAAGARTCACAGAATGGTTGAGGTTGGAAGGGGCCTCCAGAGATCACCTAATCCAACCTCTATGCTCAAACAGGGTCACCTAGVACATGTTGCCCCAGGAGTATGTCCAGGTGCCTTTTGCATGTCCTCACAGCATCCTCCTGGGCAAGCTTCGAAGGTGTGGGATAGATGAGTGGACGGGGAGGTGGATTAGGAATTGGCTCGATGGCAGGGTGCAGAGAG